ATAGTCGAACTTGATTTTAAAAAAAAATCAAAAAAAAAAATTTGACTGAGAAAAAAAAAAAAAATATATATATATATATATATATATATCGTCAAATAGAACTGCCCGGTAAACCGTAGGCAGAGAGCGAGAAGAGGACAACAAACAAGGGGCTGTGACAAACTGTTTCGTCGGAGTTTCACCGACTCATATATATATATATATATATATATATATATATATATATATATATATATATGGGCAGGTGCCGATCGACATAAACCATAAATTTGTGCAAAAAAAAACACCCCCCTACCAGCCAAAAAAAACAAAAAAAAACGAAGTTCCCGCTATGCGCGAATACTGAACTCCAACTGGTCACGTTTTTGGTGATCGGTGACCGGCCCGCATTCACAGTGGTCGTGAACGGTGAACAGGGGTATGGCACTGGGCCGAGAATATATAGTCTGGATTTGATTTCAGGTTTGTGCATCACAGATATGGGTCACTAATTCCCTGTTTTCTCGTTGTTTTTTTGTTCTCTTGTTTTTCTTTTCTTAGGAATATGCGCAGTGACCCTAAAGGTCTTTACTCACCACATGCACAAAAAACAACCAGAAGGCATGATGGTCACTAATTTCAGGTCTGTGCATCACAGATATGGGTCACTAGTTTTCTATTTTCTCGTTTTTCTTTTGTTTTCTCGTTTTTCTTTTGTTTTCTCGTTTTTCTTTTGTTTTCTCGTTTCTTTTTTGTTTTCTCATTTTTCTTTTGTTTCTCGTTTTTCTTTTCTTAGGAATATGCTCAATGACCCTAAGGATCGTTACTCACCACATGTACAAAAAACAAAACATATGGCGGCATATTCTTCCACGTTCTAGCATGAGATTCATTCTCATTGTACACAGTGGCCCTAAGAGCCTCTACTCGCCACATGCACAAAAGACAAAACCTATGGCGGCGTATTATTCCACGTTCTAGTAGAGGATTCATTCTAATTTTGCACGTTTGGTGAGTACAGCAGCCAAGCCCTGAGAATGACGTGTAGAGACCAACAGCGCCTAGCTAAGTAAGCAACCATACTTCCGGTGCATCGGCCATGTGCGTTGCGCACTGGCAGCGCGTGGTGCGCGGACCCGAGGTGCGCGCGTGCCGGCGCGCGCCACGCACCTGGCTGCGTGGTGCGCAGTGTGCTGCGCACAGGGCCGGTGCACTGCGCGCGGGTGCGCTGGGGGATGCGCGCTGGCGGGCCGCATATGCGTCAGGCACGCACATCGTATATTTTTTTATTTTTATTTTTCTGTTGCAATGGAACACACACACACACACATACACACACACACAAACACCCACACACACGCACACACACACACACACATCTCTCTCTCTCTCTCTCTCTCTCTCTCTCTCTCTCTCTCTCTCTCTCTCTCTGTGCAGGATTGTTTTTTTTTTTTTTTTAATGTTTCGTTGGAGAACACACACACACACATACGCACACACACACACAAAAAAACACACTGTGCGGGACTGGCTTTTTTTTTGTTTTTTTGGAGAAAACACACACACACACTGCAGTATTCATGCAGGCGCTGCGCACAACACATCCACCCATAAAATGCCCTCGGGGGCGGCGATTAGAACTTATTGACTTACCTGGTTGAGCGATGTGCGTGCAATCAGAGAGGAAGCATATCCGTTTTTCAAACACAGGCAGAAACGAGAAACATCACAGGATTCCAGACAAAAGAAATGTCAGACTCAGTATCCCAAAAGCAGAGTTTCCAAAGTTTGTAGTTTTAGGAGCACAAAAGCAAGCAAGGACACACTACCCTCAATATACTGATTCGCTAAGGGCTACTCGCCCTCCTCCCTCGACTGTTCCTCCCCGTGAGACTCCGCCTGCGAAGGGTCGTCCTCCGACTCATCCCCGTCCAGCTCTCCACTATCGTCCGATTGCTGTGACATTTCCTCCTCCTCCTCAATGTTCTACGGCGCAGTGTCTTCAGACGATGATGAGGAGGTTGAAGAAGACTGTTTTTTCTGGTTTTGACACGGATTTTCTTCGTCGTGTTCGATCACCTCAGTTGTTCCCCTCTTCGCAAGTCTTGCTGCCTCGGCTGCTGCAGCCTTTGCGGCCTCTGCACTTGCTTCTGTTTTTGCAGCCTTCTTCGCGGGCGAAAGCGGAGGCCACCCTCTCTTCTTTTTTGGTGGTACATCCCCCTCCACAACCTTCCTCTTTCGTTTGTGAACCGGCTGTTCTTCGGCAACGTCCGTTGTCGTTGCCTTCTTCTTGCGTCGCCAACGATCCGATACCGCCTCCCTCCCCTGCACCCAATCGTCGGTTTGACGCGCCTCCAAGGCACATTCACGGCCCTCCAAGGTATACACGAACCCGGGATCGGGCTCTTCAACACCCGACTTCCTGCGCAACTCCCGCACTCGGTGCTTCCCGGGCTTCGTGTTTGCGTGACATGTTCTCTCCAGCGCACCGAGTGCGGCGGTATCATCCTCATCATCCGCAAAGTTATCCTCCTCGTTGTTCTACAGCCATGTGCGCTCCAGCGGGGCATCGTCGAATTCATCTACGCGGACCTCCTATGCAGCAGCATCGCCGACTGTCTCTTCCCTAACTTGTGCAACCCATTGGTCGTACCACTCATCCACTTCCATGCTCGCCAGCTCGTCGTTCTTCCACGGAATGTGTATGTCTTCCCCGTCCCCTCACTCTCTCTGCGTCGACAATTGGATATTCCAATATATACTAACTTGCTCAATCTCTCCGGCAAGAGTTTCGTGCGGCGTTGGTCATAAATGAGTTGGTGCAAGCTCCAGTTTTGCTCGCATGCAGCCGACGAGCTCGCCTGCCCAAGGAGTTTGATTGCCTGCGGTTGGAGGAGGTCCAGCGACCGCCCGAACACCTACCACCATAGCGCCGGATTCTTCGAACTTGCCTGATCCCTTGCGTTCTATATCCCCAAAGTGCCCAACCCCTGCATCCACATGTCCACCTATCTACAACAGAAAAATTTCCCAGAATTAAATAATCATTCTATAGTAAAATTACATTCTAAATTTCAAATTTTCATTCCATCTTAAAAAATATCATTCTAATTTTAAAAATTTTCGTCTTACTTGAAAATGTTCCGTCCAAGAATGGGGTATCCCTTCTTATTTGAACTGCATGCTAGAGATGGAATGAAAGTCTGGATGAGTTCATGAAATATTTTAATTGGACTGTTATTCTAAGTAAGGATTTTCAGTCATAAATAGGTTAACCCAATCAAAATTAGAAGATATTTGTTGTAGTAGAATGAAAGTTTAATTAAAACATTTCATAAACTCGTCCAGACTTTCATTCCATCTTGAACATATAGATGTAGTTGGAAGGGAAAGCTCATATTTAGACGGGAACTTATCAAATAAAACTGAAAATTTTGGAATTGGACAAACATTGGAATGATAATTTATAAATATGCAGGATTTTTTTTTTTATGGAACGTTTTTTCAACTTTCATTTCTCGTGGGAATTTTTATATTGTACTGATTTCTCGCTGCAACAACTTTGGCGGCGCCCAAGAGTAAATCCAGATGTTGAACTCTTCGCGAATCTCTGTGTCTTCCACGGTGTGCGTCCTGTACTCGGGATTGAGGAAGGCAGACACGCAATGCATCTCTAATGTCATCAAGGGCATTGAAGGCTCACCGATCCATCAAAATTTTCTCCACATCCGTCTTTTCAGCCTCCAACAGGCAGTCCAACGTGCGCATTCTAGCCACAACCGCGTCCATGCCAAAATAGATTTTGCTCATAGTTGCTCTTGTACCATCCACCAGATGAAGGAGCTTGACAACTGACTTCATCACCGCCATGGCCTTATCCACATCCTTCCATAATCCATTCGTGTCCATGATGATGTGGGTTACGGCGTTGAATGTCGCCACCTCCTCCCCCCTCACCAACTTCTCCACCCACGCCGCATTGCAGACACAAAGCTCCAATGGATTCCTCCCCGTCTTCAGGGACTGAAGCATCTCAAAGTTTGTCGCGAATCTTGTGACCGCTGGAAGTTTGAGTTGCGCATTCACAATCCTGGTGTACATTGTGCGAACCTTGTCAACGTTGTTGAAAAACTTGCCAACTTTATTACCCTTGTTGACGACCGCTTTCAGTTAGTCCATGCACTTGTACATGTCCTTGAGGGTCAGATCCAAGGCATGGGTTGTGCAGCCCACACTAAAAATATCAGGGTACTTGGCCCCTACCATCTTCCTCACTTTAGCGCAAACCCTCGCATTGTCCATCACAACACCGAACATGGACCTCGCACCGATCTCCTGGATCACCCCGTCCAACATCTTGAAGTACGCTTTCGAATCCTTTTCACTCCCCTCCATGCGGATCGACTTCCGAAACACAATTCTGACTAAGGAAGACACCATGATGTTCAGGTGCATTTTGTTCCTCTGGTCTGACCACCCGTCCATCTGGAGCACGCACCCTGTTCTCTCCCGCCTCTTGAAGAGTCACCGCGTGTCTTCCCCCACCAATTTAAACTGCCCGTCCAACCTTTTCGTCCTCATCTCGTACCTCTTGCAAGGCCACCAACTAGGATGGCACTTCTTCGTAGCATCAAGGAATTCGGGGAAGTAGAAGTTGTCCACCATGTTGAATGGTTAATTCCTGCAAATCAGCGACTGATCCATCTTCCTACTCTCTGCTCGTTCCAGGTGACGATACTGTCCGCCTCCTCGAGCAAAGTTTGCCTCACCGAACGTCCACCACTTTTAGGGGAAGGAGGGAAGCATATCGCAGATCCTGCAGGCAAGGGCATCTCACCATCACTTGGCCTCTTAGTTGGTGATAATGGAGGCACTAAACTACTGGAAACGGTCCTGTGCTCGGACCAGCATTTCCACCAATTACACCTGCGAGATGACTTGTCTGGTGCTTCCCCAGCTGGATGCCCTCGATTCTCATCACCCTCTCCTCCGCTGTCAATGCCCGAGTGACACGCTCAATACTGCACTTCGTAATGAAGTGCTTATTGAGGACCGACTTCGTGTCGACGAACCTCGTCTCACAATAGTTGCACAATCAGTGCCTCGACCCCCTGTCGGGGTCCTTGCCGTGCGAACCTTCATCAGTGAAGTGCCTTGCAAGCGACTGCAAGATCAGCTTCACCAGCGCCATCGACAGCTTCACCTGCACACATACAATCCACAAACAGCCCAGGCGCCAGCCCCTCTTCAACACTTTTCAAAGGAAACAACGTCCGTCCCTCAAACCCTCCTCCCCACCCCTCAAACCCCCATCCCCGCCGCCCCCACCCCAACCCCCAGTCTAAACATTGCCTTTGATCAAAGCACCCAATCAAAGTAATGCCAGCAACCGCAGGTCCATAATTGAAAAGGCAGAAGAAAAAAAAACGTCATACTTGTCCAACAAAAAGAAAGAAAGAAAGAGAGAGAGAGAGAGAGAGAGAGAGATCCTTTCCACCGATACAGAGAAGATTAACAAGGCCGCTGCACAAGGATGACACGCTTCAATTGACATATGGACCACATATATATATTTAAAAAAAAAAAAAAAA